AATTATCAATGACTGAGAAGAAATAGGTGAATTTGATAAATGGATCTCTAAAGTAGTAGAACAGGCTTCTAAAACTAGCCAGGACATGCTAAGTTTCTGTACTGGCCTTATAAGAGCAGATATTATTCTAAAAATAATAGACCTAAAATGTCAAGGTAAATGCATAGGAAGAATAGTAAGAAAATGGATAATAAAAATACAAAGAAGAGTCTGTAATCAAGTCCAAAAAGAAGTATGGAACAAGAGATGTGAAAAAGTAATTGAGTAAGAAAAAATACAAGGAATTAGCAGAAAGAACAAGACAAAAAGACCTTCATGTCCTTTAAGCTAGAAAAGTATACTCCTTAAGAAAAATAAGTCACTACCTGAAAAAGGAAACCTTGAAGCTAAAGGCCTCTGAAAAATTTTAACAAGAAGAGTGTAGTATAGAATAAAATGGTTGGGTCTTAGGTTCTGTCAGAATCTCGCAGAGTGATCTGTAATAGTGACCTGCAGACAATGAAGTTAACAGTTGAAAGTGTCTTTATCTGAACTATTAACAGAGCAATAAATTATTTCTGAAGTTGCACTTAGAGTTTTAATAATTTTTTAAAATAGAGATGAGTGAGTTAGGTAGTGACTTAGCTTTAATAATACATTCTCTAATGTAAAGTATATATATGTTTAATAAAGCACATATATCTAGCCTGACAAAGGGTATAAAAAAAAATAAGTTGGTTATTATATTTTTTATTATTATAACCTTCTATCAGGCTAGTTATATGTGCTTTATTAAACAATTGTAAGCTATACATTATATATGTATCGCTAAAGCTAAATCTCTAACTAACTTACTTGTCAAAGTCTTACATTTATCTAGTACTCTAAGTGCAACTTCGGGAGTGATTTATTGCTCCATTAGTAGTTCAGGTAGAAACCTTTCCAACTTCTAATATCATCGCCCGCAGGTCATTACTGTGGATTATTGCATGATGTTCTAACAAGGATTAAAATCTAACTATTTCATCCCATATTTCATCTTATTTATTATAATTTCTACCAGGTTTTTGTTTTCCCTCTGTTTCACTTTTTCTCTTTGCCTTATGCTTTTGTGACTAGGATTATCTTGCATGTCTTGCCTTTTTGCTTCCTGTGCCTTCTTATATTTTGTTCTTCTATCAATTCTTTGTTCTTGTTTCTATTCTATAATCTTTTCATATCTCACGTTTTAAACTTGTTTTCAGATCTGATTGCAAATCTTCTTTTGTACTTTTAGAATCCATTTTTTTTGCCATTGTTCTTAACTTCTTTCCATAACAGTTTAGATTAGCAGCTTCTTTGATTGTGTCACTTTCTATTAATCTTGTGCAAAAGTTGAGAGTGCTTGAACTGGTTTGCAAGGCTGATTCTATTAGTCTGGAGGCCTATTTATTTAGTTCGTCTTTTTCTTTTCTATTGTCAACTGCTAGTTGTACCATTTTTTCATGTTTCCCTCTTACATTTTTGATACAACTTGTTGAATTCTTTAAGAAAAGTTTCTGATTCTTTTTGTCATACTGCTAGAATCTCGATCTTATGATCAGAACATTTTAATAAGTATTTTATTGTTTTTTGATGCTGATTACATGCTATACATCTTGTTTGCTTGTATAGATCTGGTTTTCTATTACTAGCTTGCTTAAGGTAGGTAGTTTATCATTGATTAATTTAATCAAAAAACTTCTTCTCTATAAACTTTTGAAGGAGGTATCCCATATATTTCCATCTTTTAACCTATCCTATGTCAGATCCTATAGTAGGTTTGATGCTTGTAAACTTGGTGATGCCATTTTGTCTCTGTTCTGTATTACTGTGTTTATGATAGAGCCATTGATCTTTTATTGATTTGCTTGATAAACTGTCATATTGGACTGTCTACCACTTCTTCTTGCCACATAGTTTCTATAGGTATTTTGTTTAATTTGAGACTTTTCTATTCTATTGCTAATAGATTTAACACTTCTTTGGCCAGTCGGTCTGTTTCTTCATTTCATGGATCATTAGAATAGGCTTTAACCTTGATCAAAGTTAGTTGGATATGTTTTTTCTTTATAAAATCTAGCATTCTCACCTATAATAACCAATTCTTTTCTTTTAGCCATCTTTTGTATGTCATTTTCAGGTCTTCTTTTTCTAGCTTTTTCTATTTAGAGATGCAAACTTGATTATTTGTAAAGATCTCGACAGTACTTTCTATCAGAGCTACTAAAGCTATTATAATCAGTGTCACTAGTTCTGCTCATGTGAATGAGGGCCAGTTTTTGACTCCTATCTGAAATTTACTTTCTTTTCCAGCTCCTTCTATTTGTATCCATGTTGTATCCATTTTTGCATTCTTGTTTCCATGGTCGATTAAGGATCTATTAAAGTAGAAGGTTAGCTTCTCCTGTAATCCTTAATTGCGTCAGAGAATTTCAAGTAGGTGATCTTGATATACTCCTTGCTTAACATTATTTCTGAGTATTTCTTGTTCCCAATTTTTTATTAATACTTGTTCCATTTTTTCAATTTGGTTATTTGTCAAATCTTGAGTTTCTGGGACTATACTCTTAATCATTATACTATCTAGTTCCAATAGGAAACAAGGAACTTTTAGTGATTATACTTTTCTAGTATTTTTTTAATAGTTTAAGAATGGTATAGTATAGATCAAATCTGATTTTATTTCTATATTACATTCATTTCCATTTTTATTATTTAGTGAGCATTTTGTGCATTTGATAAGAACTGTTTCTAGGCCATCTTCTGTTTTTTGATAACTGAAATAATGAATTATCATAGTATCTTGACTATTCTTCTGAATCAGTTTTCTCTATACTATTTGTTGATTCTCATTCTAGGTAATATCCAGGTTTTCTTTCATTTATCTCTGTCAGGTTCAAGTTTAGTACATTTTGATAGTCACTTTTCTTCCTATTTCTTTTTCCAAAATGTTATAAAGTCTTTTATACTTTCTTTAGCTATGGTTTTTTGTAGAATATCATACTATCCTGGGATAATGCCTTTGCTAATATACTGGATAAGTTGAATCATTCCCCACTTTCTGAACTTTGTGAGGTTTTGGTTTAACAGTTGGTATATGTACATTAATCTGTTATTTCGCAGAAATAGTATTGCCTTTCTATATTCTCTACTATTAGGTGTTCTTGAATTGAACTATTGCCTTTGGTCCACTCAAAAATATCATTCTATTTCCAGCTCTGGAAAGTTAGTCCCAAGTCTTTAGTTAACTTTAGAACTTGTAATGTGAAATTTTTTTTATTATCAAGGTGATCTAAGGATTCACATGAAAGAAGATTGTGAGGTTCCAGTGCTTAATCTGTGCTTGTTTCAACCTGATAATTGTCGTAAGTCCTGTTGAACCCTGATCATTTATTCTATTACAGAGTCCAATTAGTTGTTTTTTTTTGGGGGAGCATCCATATGTTTTTAAAATTATATATTTTCAGATAGTGAATAACATTATTGAGAATAGATCTACATAAGGCTATTTTATTCTTGAAGAGCTTATAATATGCTGCTATCAGGTTATTGCATATTTTTCAGGACAATATGCTATGCTGCATTTTAAATTCTATTTTCAGAATCAATATTCTTTTTAGTATATAAAGGGCTTGCTTATCAGGCAATTTCTTGTTTTTGAGAACTCTTATAATAGTATTGATTTTTTTTAAGACTATTTCTTTGAGTTTGATTACAGTTTTCTGGTTACCTATCCATATTCCCAGGAATCTTGCTTGCTCTTTTCTATTTAATTCTCTAATTACTTCTTTATTAATTTCTATATGAACTTCTTCTGAATAGTGGTTATGATTATTAATAGTAACCAAAATCAACTTGTTGCTATTAATATGAGAGTCATTCGCTTTGTAAAAGATTCTTGCTGTTTCTAGGATCTTTTTCATATCTTCTTTGGACCTTGTATAAGTTGATTATTATATAAAAGTCTATAATTTATTAAATATTTATTTAATATTTTAATAAAAAAATATTTTAATATACAATATATATACTATATATATACTTTATATATATTATATTGTATTTGTTTAAATAAATATTATACTGTAATAAATCAATTAAAAATTTTTTTAAATGTATAAAAAAATAAAAAATGATTATATTAAAATTGCTTTTGAAAATATAATAGTTAGTTTAATTGTATAAAAAAAACCCCCTCAAATAAAACCTTGTTAATTTAAGTTTGCAAATCTAATCAAATATGGAATGAACAACGTAAATAAACTAAAACGCCAATATAAACACTATATTTTTAGTAGCACATATAGTTCTCTCGCCATTATGCCTTAATATTATTTTCTAAAATAAACTTTATATTATTCTTAATAATATAAGTAATCTGTTATTTAAATCAAATAATTAATTTCCTTTTTTTATTTATTTAAGTTTCAAAGAAACAATGGAACAACAGCAATACTTCTTTTTTCTCATGTGGTTATATGGCGCGGCATTTATGGTAAGCCTTATTTTAGAATTTGATTTTTTTAAAAAATTGCTTCGGTGTTTCGCAAATATTATTATTTACAGTTTATTTCCTAATAGATATTTCTTCACAATTTATTCGTTTCTATTCTCCTATATAAAACTAATCAAGTTAATGAATCCAACATCCTTAAAATAATTTTTAATTTTACTGGAATAATTACGTTCATATGTAAATTCCTTCTTGATGCAACCCCGAGTACCGTGACTTCTTTAGGGTGTAAAAGTATCTACTACATTGCAAACGTTGATAATCTTATTTATAGAGGATCTCTGGCAATATTTCTGTTATGGAGATTAAGGCAAATAGGGACAAAGGAATACGATAAGTGGATAGGTCTTATCTTAATAACTGCAAGAACTGCCTGTCATGTAAGTACACGTTTATTCCAAATAACATAATAGATTTATTTTAGAATACGTTTTTTTTATTTATTTACTCTATTTACATTTATGGAAATTACAGATTGCATTTATAGCATTACTCGATCCCTTCGTGATTCAAATCCCATCTCCATTTACATTTATCAAGTCGTATAATGCTTGTGATTATAATTTCAAGGGATCATCCAATTCACAAATTGCCTTTGTCTGTGTCGATTCTGCAATTGATATATACGTCACGGTCAGATTAGTCATGATCCTTAAGAGAGCAAATAAAAACTCAGCACTAATCGATTCCATTATAAATCGCAAATCAAAACGCACGGTATTTACGGCGATTATCTATTGGAATTTTATACGTTTACTAGTGGCTTTCGGCGAAAATGTGACCTACTTAGTTCTTATAATCTTAGCCTCCACTACTCTTGTTGATATTAATGGTGCGACGGCAGAAAGCTTTTTTCAATGTTTTTTCTATGTACTCATGACTTATGTTGTGACCGCTGATGTCGAAATTGTTAAAGTTATTGAAGGTAAAAACTATAAGAGAGGATCAAGTAGTTCGGAAAGCAAAAAAAGTTATCTTAGAACTTCCGGCACACACATGCAACCTGGTTCATCTGCTGAAGGCTATAGTAGAGATGAACTCAACGTGTCCACAAATAAGTTGACATTCTTTAAGTGGATTAATATGATTATAGGTTTTCATCGCAAAGATATCAAGAGTGTGCATGAATTTGAGCAGAATGAATTAGAAGAAATTATCGAAGGACCCTCGAAAGCAGCTGCTTTGGATCTCGAAAAAGGAAAGAGTACTAGCGAATAGCATCATCACACGAACTCAATGCATAACATTTTCCCTAGTGTACTCTCGGCCATCTGAAATATCTGACATTTAGTGAGTGTACGAAGTGAAATCTAGGAAATACTCGTCTATTGAAAATAACAATTAAGGGTACATACTGTATATAGTTTCTTCTTATTATCTAATATTGAGTGTACATAAATCTTTATTTGTTACAAATTGTTATATAATATTTATTGCCACATAAGTTTCAAAAATAGGTGACATTGAAAGTATTCCCCGTCAGTTTTGCGGCATGCATTGGATTACGGATAGGGGATGCTAATTATTAGACTTTTATCGACTTAAGAGGCTATAATTGTTTTTCTTAAGTGGTTAATATTTTTTGACTGGTGTATACGATTCTAGAAACTTTAATTAGTAAAAATTAAAAATTTATATTATATTTTTATATTAAAACATACAGTATATAAAGTTTTTTTACTTTTTCTTTGCATTTGTTTTCACAAGTGTTTAATCATATTTAAATCTGAACTATTGATTGCCTACTTGAAAACTTTAAGGATATATAACTTAAGATAGAAGATCACAAGAAGCTTATATATTTAAAATTGTTATTAAAATCATTATTTTTTTTATTAAATCCTTTATTTCAAATATATATTTTTTAATATGTTGATATTTTTATTGTTTTTTTGAAATTAATTTTTTTCTTTATACGGTATTATTATTTAACTATATTATAAAAAAGTTAAAATACAGCTTTTGTTTATGAAAAAGATCTTATCTTAATTATTATTTAAATATTTTTTAATTTATTTCAGTTATTTTTTTTTTTTTGTATTTCAATAAGTATAAATATTGTAATAAAAATAGTCTTAATACTATTTAATAATTATTTTTAACTATTATTTTCTATTTTATTTATTTATTTCTAATTATTTTTTTAATATTCATATTGTTATTTAATTAATAAAGATCATACTATCAAATATAATACATGATATAATTTAGTACAAATCAGATAGTTCAAAAAACATAAAAGATTCAAAACTCCAAAAAATCTAAATAACTTATTTTATAAGTATATACTTTAAGTAATAGTAATTTATTTATGCTTTTTAAAAATTGAATATTTTTTTTTTTAATATTAAAACTAAAGAAATTATTTTTTTTTTAATAAATTAAAATTCCAAGTAAATTATATTTTTATAAAACATTATATAATATTGATTATAAATTTTTTAAATAAATTTCTCAAATATTTTTATTAAAATAAACTACTTTTAGAACTTTTTTTTTTGAAAATTATTTTTTAAAAGAATATTACTTTTTTTTTTTTTTTTTGAAACCCTAGGTTAAGCTAGATATGTGTGCTTTATTAAATGTTTGTATACTATACATTTTAAATGATTCACTAAAGCTAAGACTTTACATAACTTACTTATCGCTGTTTCGTCTTGATATATCAAAACTCTAAGTGCAACTTTGGGAGTGATTTATCACTCTGCTAATGGTTCAGGTGAATACCCTTCCAACATTTAACATTATTACCCACAGATTACCACTGAGATCACTATTCGTTGTTCTAATCAAGCTTAAAACCCAACCACTTCATTTCATAAGTAATACCTTTGAATAGAATTTCTTTCAAGCTTTTATTTTCTTGAGTTCCTTCCTCTGATAGAGAATCTTTACTTTTGGGAACTAATGGTTTTAAGCTATGTGTGCCTGAGAATCAGTTGATTTTTTCTACTCTGCGAATCCTCTATAAGTATTTCCATTCGATTATCTTTTGTTCCAAATCTTTTTCCTTATTTGGTTGCACACTCTTCTTTGCATCTTTGATATCCATCTTCTTGCCTT